CACTGGCCGACCACCACCTCATCTCCAGGCTTGGGGTCGAAGCAGGGGCTGCAGTGCACCGTCAGACTGCGGTGGCGCTTCTGGTAACGCTGGTACTTGCGGATGAAGTGCAGGTAGTCGCGGCGAATGACGATGGAGCGCTTCATCTTGGTGGAGTGCACCACGCCGCGAAGAATGCGGCCACGGATGGACACGTTGCTGGTGAAGGGGCACTTGCGGTCGATGTACTTGCCGTTGACGGCCGCCTTGGGGGTCTTGAAGCCGAGACCGATCTTCTTGGAGTAGCGGATGTGGCCGCTCATGTTCACGTGCTTCCTGTTCGGGTTGTGGATGTTCTCATTCACCGCCGTCTGACGCTGGTAGGACTTCTCATGCTGCAGCGTCAGGTCGACGGAGTGCACGCGGGCGTACTGCTGCGGGGCCGTCATTTGAGGGTATACCTACTGAGCTCTGCGGATCAAAGCAGGGGAAAGAACGCCCACACGCAGACATATAAACAACAACAACAACAACAACAACAACAACAACAGTGAAAAGGCGAAAACGTACATGCAGTCAGATCAAGCACCCACGCTTGTAAATAGCTGCCTGAAGTAGAGGCCCAAAAGTCGTACAAATAAGTATTTTTACGTGTGTGAAAGGTTTTGGCGTAGCGTCGCCGGGGCGCTACAGCTGGTGTGGGCCCTCCGTGCATCCAGGAACTTTAACAAAGTCGTCAAATTCGTAGCACTTCTTGTCGGGGCAGCACTTCCAGTACTTGTAGGTGTCCCAAAAGACCGGGCCCCCCGTGTGGTACCGGCACGCCTTCGGGTGATTCTCACTCACCACAAACTCCTGCTGGCAGCCGTAGTGGCGGCACCGCGCCTTACCGTCCACAATCTTCTGCGGCGGCTGCTGCTGCGCCGCCACCGCCCCTTCGAACTCCCTCGGTCCGGTGGTGCGATCGACCGCGGCATTTTCGCTGCCATGCGCCGCCGCCTGTACCTGCGGCAGCGGCAGGGGCTGGTTCGACAGGGGCGCACTCGCAAACGATACCGGCCTGTTCTCCGTGCTGTGGGGGCCCACGCGACAGGCGGGGATGGCCTTGAACTCCTCCCAGTCGCGGGCCCGGTGCGTCGGGCAACACCGCCAGTATTTTTCAATGTCGTGGAAGACAGGGGGCTCCGCGTGGTAGTGGCACGCCGAGTCGTGATTCTCCGCCGGGAGGAAAAACTGTCCACAGCCAAAGTTGGTGCACACCACCGAGCCTGGCTTCTGCTCCTGCAGCGCGGACTTCGCCAAGTGGCGGAGATGCACGTCGTTGTACTCGTGGACGCGTGTCTGCACCACATCCGACGGCTTCAGCTCCACGTTGCCGCACCACAGGCTAAGCTCCGCGGCCGTCAGGGGGTTGTCGGGGTGCTTTTTGTTGTACGTGGAAACCACAAAGCTGAGCAGCCTCTCGCACGGCCCGCTGAGCCAGCTTGCCGGGATGTCCATCTTCAGCTTGAAGGCCTCTGCCAGGCTGCCGTCCACCACGCACCCATTCACATCCTTCCCTTCGTAGATGAAGTACACCTTCATACCCCACGCCACTGCTTCTGCGGCTGCTGCTGCTGGTGGTGGTGAAGTTAGTGTCCGTGTTAGCGGCTCTTTCGGCAAAAAAAGAGAGAGAAAGAAACTAAAAAAAAAAAGAAAAAAAAGAGACGAGCATGTGTGTGTGAGGGAAAGAGTGGGATAGGGCTATGCAACCGGTAACTCCCACAGCCAAGAACGTAACCTCCGCCGAAGGAGGTGGGTACGAACGGAGGGGGGAAAAAAACAACAACCGGTGCAGCTCCGTTTGCTCATGACGACTACAGATCAATGACAGAATCAACAAACAGCGCAGAACTATTAACAGGAGGGAAAACTAACAACGACCAGCGAAAAAGGCGGGAAACGTCTCTCATGCCTCCTTTTTCCTCTACTCCTCTAGTTGTTCACGGAGTGGGACGGCACGCGACCCACGTGCGCGGCATGCGGGGGGGTGTCGAAGGACTGCATAGGCGAATCCGCGGTCGCCTGCTGCTGGGCCGCGGTGACACGGCGGCGGGGCATATTTACCCTCGGCGGGCGGTACGAGGCCGAGCCCTCCGGCAAAAACGCGACATCGGCGGTGTGGCTCATGAACGCCTCATGGTGCGCAGTTGCGGGGTGAGGTGCTGACTGGCGGGGAGGCGGCATGGCGTCCGACTGTATCATGCGCTGCAGCCGCACGTTTGCCATTTTGGCCTCCTCGACGGCGCGCCTCGCCTCCATGATGCGGCCCAGCCTGTTGCGCAGCCAGACTTTGTAGTCCGCGGCCTCTGCCTCCGTCATGATGCCGTACTTCGGCAGCGCGTTCCAGAGGTACACGGCGGCGCCAACAACGTAGGTGAAGTAGCCGACACTGACGAACAAAAACAGCGGGGCGAGGCTGCAGTAGGGCAGGTACCCGTGGGAAAGAAGGCCGCAGTACGTCAGGTACTCCTGCAGAAGCGCACGCGTGACGTTCGCCATGAGGGTCGCCCGCAGCAAGAGGGAGGTCATCGCAAGCTCGGTCGCCGAGAGGGCGTCCTTTCTAAGCGTGAAGTTCCTCCAGCTGACGCTGAAGAAGTTGAGGCCCACCGCCCACCGGTTCGCCAGTCCAAGCAGCAGGGTGAAGCCGCTGAAGAAGACCGCCAGGTACATCTGAACGGCGTGGTCCGCAAAGATTTCGTCCGAGTTGTCGTCCTCGAGCGACAGTGAGACGGACTGGAAGGCGTAGAGGGTGCTCTGCGTCACGTTGAACTCGCAGCCCCGCAGCTTCGCCCGCAGCGCGGGGACCAGCTCGAGGTCGTTGCGCGCCCACACGGAGTGCACGAACGTGCGCTTGCAGCCCATCACAAAATTCGTCGTGTAGACGAGGAAGCAGACCAGCTGCACCACACTGACGACGTCGTACAGGCTAAGGACGAACTTCTCGCTCTTCAGGCGGCCCTTATTGGGCCGCCGCTGAAACTCGCTCACTACTTGCATGCGTCGCGCTTCTGTTTGTCCGCCCTCTTCGGAAGGAGGCGGGGATGCCACAGACACCCGCCCACGCACGCACGCACAGAGAGGGAGAAAGAGGGGAGGGGGAGGAGGAGGAGACACACACACACACACACACACAGAGAGAGAGGGAGATGGAGATGCGGAGAAGCAACGGGAGAGACAACACGGAGCCCGTCGTGGCGGCAGTAGAGCCGCGAGACGCATGCGGGCTCGTCCGCCCCGCCAAAGCCGCACAACAAACTGCGGCAAAAGAAGCAAAGGAATGCGTATATATATATAAAACGTACTGCCTATACGCACAGACTGAGAAGGAGCGAGTAGAAAAACCAAACACGCGAAAGTGCAGTGGAGGAGAGACCGTACATGTATTTGCATCGGGCGGAGCGGGGAGCCAATTCAGCTCGAGGGAGGGGGGCACGGAGTAAACGAAGGCGTCCCCGCCAGGAAACTGCAACGGAAGCAGCAAACAAACAAACAAAAAAAAAGGTCCACAGAAAAAGTGAGCGAGGAAGCCCATGTAACTGTTACATTCCCCTCCCCGCTTCACTTGTGGATAAACAAGAGCAAAAAAAAAATAAATAAATAAAAAAATGAAAAAAAGGCAAAAGGGGCGGGGGACTCAAGCAAGCGAGCAAAGAAGCAAAATCTCAGCCGCAGTTTCTAAAAAACGAGGAGAGAATGTTTTTTGCCACGTTGCTGCGCGACTTCTCGCGGGCTGGCGAGCACGACGTCTGCGTCAACGGCACCGCGGACGGCAGTGTCTGCTCCGGCGACGAGTCACGCGCGGAGAGAAGCGTCTCCGCGTCGACTATCGGGCCGCACTGGGTGCAGTCGCCCACGTGCCGCAGCGTGGCGCGGCCTCGCTCGTACTTCAAGCAGTAGCCCTCCCACGGGGCGACGACGTGGCACCAGACGACGACACCTGGCAGGGAGTCGGTGGCTGCAGTTGAGATTTCCGGCGAGAGGCTGCGGGGGCCGGGCGCCGCCCGCGCATGCACCTCGTTGGCCACGAAGGCGTGGTCCCCAAACTCGAGAACTCCGACGATGCTCGCGTCGAACCGCGGCGCCGCGAGGACGGGGACGGCGTAGTCCGTGTGACAAGCAAAGAGGCAGAGGGCGCCGCGCAGCCGCCGGCTCCGCCAGGGGCACTGCAGCAGGGCACGCGCGAAGAGTGGCGAGAAGATAAGTTGGCGCATCGAGGGCCGCGCAAACGGGTGCTTCTCCAGCATTGACATGACGAGGTCGCCCAGCTCAAGCGAGTAGCCCCGCCTGGAGAGGAGGCTCGGGTGCGGCGGCGCGCCGGTCGTGATGGACCGCCGCAGCGCCCCCATGCTGTTCCCAAGAAAGGGATGAAGGTTGGTCATCATGCGGTAAAACACAACACCGAGGCTCCACACATCGCTTCCGTAGCCGCAGAGACCCTCCGCGATGGTTTCGGGCGACATGAAGAGCGGTGTGCCGACAAGCACGGAGACTTCCACCGCGCCATCGTCTTCGCTGCAGAAGGCGCTGAGGCCAAAGTCGGCCACCTTCAGCGTCGGCACCCGCCTGCCTTTCCTGCCCAACAGTATGTTTGACGGCTTCACGTCACGGTGGACGATCTCCTTCGTGTGTACCTGCGCCAGGGCGAGCAGACACTGGAGAAAAAAATGCAGCAGCAGCTCCTCAGTGAGGGGGTAGTGCTTCTGCATGTACGCCTCCAGATCACCTCCCGGGCAGTACTCCATGAGGAAGCAGACAACGCCCTGGGATTCCTCGAACCAGAGGTCCATGAGGCGCACGATGCCGTCGTCGTTAAAACTTGCCATCACGCGCGCCTCGACCAGGGCATCCTGAATTTGCCGCTCCATCGCCTCGCCCGCGGCTGCCGCCGCCTCCTTCCTCCGGAAGTTTTTCACCACGGCCCGTGCGCCGTTCGCCGTTCGGTCCTCCACGAGCACAACCTCCCCGAAGGAGCCTCGGCCCAACGTCCTGACGACCCTGAAGCGCTCCCCCATGAGGCGGCGACGCGGCAGCGTGTTCCGCTGCAGGAACTTCATGTATCCAGGGAACGCGTCCATGCGGCTTAGAAGCCTTCGCAGAGTCTCCCTCTTTCCTTGCAAACTAGGACCAACCGCAGACAGAAGCGTGAGAGAGCGAAAGAGGGCGCGCGCGACAAAGAGAGGCAGACCCCAGCGAAAACTGACAAAGGGCAACAACAGCCACAGGCTCCACCATGCATGAGCACACACCCATGTTCATACACGCAGAGCGAGAAAGAGGGAGAGAGAGGGAGAGAGAGAGAGAGAGAGAGAGAGAGGCAACGCCAGGCAGCCGCGTGCGGAGGAATCAAAAAGTCGCTTATCCATCATCCGCAGCAGCGCTCTGAAAGGGAAGGTTTACGCCGTACAGGACCGCGGCGCATCCCGTGAGGAACGGCAGCTTACAGGCACGCCGTGCTAACGCCAGTGCCTCGCCAACGGTCCGCGGCGGGGGGAGAGAGCCAAGACCATCCTCGACGTCCGCTCCTGCGAGCAGCAAGAGGAGTCGCTTGGTCAATCTGTCTATTTCACCGTCTGTCACGTGCCACAGACAGCCAAGGAACAATGGGCATCCGGCATGCAGAAAAGCGTACGGCATACCGTAAGAGTCATGTGAGTAGCCACTCTCCATGCACGCACTGCTGCAGCCCATGAGGAAGACTGCAGGGAACTGGTCCGGGTCAGGAAACCTTTCATACAGCTCTCCCCGGTGCAGAAAGCGTTCCCCCTTCCCGTGCCCGACATACACGTAAAGTTCTGCCCGAGATGAGTAGAGTTCCTGCATGAGCTGGCCGGGGGGCATGGCGTGTGTGTTTGTCTTCCATCCACTTCGCTGGCAGACGGGGAGCAGACGCCTCGAGGTCTTCGGCATGACGCCAGCGAGGTCAACGGCACAATATACCACGCCGTCGCCAAGAAGCAGCGAGCGTGCGCCACTCGTGGAAACAAATGTCGGCGTGGGAACGCGGGCCACGTTTCCCGCGCGAAGAACGTCCATGCCCTCAAACGGAATGCAGTGCAGCTCATTGTCCAGCACGAGGTATACCGAGGCACGTGCGAGGGCGCCCACGTCCCGGTGCGGCGAGCTCGACGAACGCGCCGCGGAGACCGCGTTCCAGAGCTCTGTGAGCGCGCAGAGGCATGCGCCACGCGCGGCGACAAAGACGCCCGGTGAAGCTGCAGCGATGCTATGCTTAAGAAGCTCCATCTCCAGCGCCGCGGAGAGGCGGTGCAGCACCGCGTCACACGAGGCGCACGTGCCCTCCGCCGCCCCGTGAGACGGACTGAACAGCACTTGGCCGCCGGCGTCGCGGTGCGCCGCCAGGAAGGGAAGGCCCGCCAAAAGCAACGTCACGTCCGACACATGATGCGCGGGTGCCGCCACATCGTGCAGCAACTTGGCGGCCACCTTCCTCAGCTCTAAGAGACAGGCGAGGGGCAAATCGCCGCACATCGCCACCCGCCAGCACCCAAAAATCTCGTCGGACTGCATCTCCTCGATCAACTTCTGCAGTGCACCGTCGAACGCGTATCGCTGCACCCACCAATTCTCCCTTGCCTGCCGGCTTTGCCGCTCCACTTCACTGTCACCCACCGCCTCTGCTGCGCGGGAAGGCCTCCCCTCCCCCGCCTTCTCCACTGCAGGCACTTCGTTGCAGGGGGCGGCGTCAAGGTGCCGCCGATTCTGCGCCTCTATTTCATGCATCCTGGCCACCACGTCCAGCAACGCCCTTCCAACCGGCAGAGTCTTCTCCCACGGCGTCGCTCCCTCGGCACTGCTGCTGCGGATTAGGCGCACGCTCGCACAATCACTTGTCAGCAGCACCTGCAGCTGGCAATGGTCCTGCACAGTCGTCCCCGGCGGCGGGGTGCCGCGAAGTGCATCGAAGACGCGACGCCGCGATGAAAATGTGCGTCCGACGACGACAGACTTCGTCTGCCGATACGGCGGCGCCAACCCCGCGGGGCGGGGCGGGAGCAGTGGGAGCAGCGCACGGGCAACGCCCATCCAGCGCGCATCGGCATCGTTAATGGGGCAGCCCTGCGCAAAGGCGGCGATCGCGTGCAGCGTTACAAGCAGATTCGCCTGCGACGGCACCCGCGCGCAGATGCCTGCGAGAAGCGGGAGAAAACACCTCGCAAGCGGCAGGTCCCCCTCGTCCACGAGACGCGTGACGAGACGCGACACTCCGTCCAGGACGAAAGTCGGGGCGAGTTTGTCTCCCAGCAGACGACGCCCGAGCGTCCTGTCGCCGCGGATGAGCGTCAGTCCCGCTGGCAGCATATCCTCCATCGTCTCCGCCGTCGCGAGGAGCCGCAGCACGTCTGTGGCGCACCACTCCTGCGAAACCTCGTGCAGCAGCGGACTCGGCCCCCCGGCGTGTGTGTGTGCGGCAGTCCGCCCTCGCGGGGCGCAGTTCACGCGCTCTCCGGAGTTGTCCCCCGCCGCCCCGTCGAGCAGGACCTCGAGCTCCTTCCCCCACAGCAGCAAGGAGCCATCGCCCAAGCCTGGCGCCGGCCCTGCCCGGAGGAGCTCCACCGCAATGTCGGCATACCGATGCCGTAGCGCGATGGCCACCACGCTGGAGACTGAGGCAACCGGAAAGCCGCCGCAAGGCGCGCGTGCTGCCCTCCCCGAGAAGCGCCGCAAGATGCACGCCACACGCGGTAGTGTGAAGGTTTCCCGCGGCACACAGAGGTCCTCGCAGAGGGCCGTTGCACGAAGGAGGGTGGCTTCCGCGGGGGGCAGGTGCAGCGGCCGTCGGAAATCCGATACATAATACGTGGCCTCCGCGGCAAAGGCATCCCGCAGAATAGTCGTTGCCCCGGAGGCACGACGGTGCAACTCCTCCTGCGCTGCATGCAGCAGGGCGCAGCCCTCCGCGTACAACGTCGTACAAAGGCGGTCCCACCTCGCAATCACTTCGGGCCCGTGCAGACCCATGCGCACGCACGCATTTCTGCCGGAAGCGCCCAGCAACCCACACTCCGCGGCGGCCCGTAGGTCGGGGGGCTGCGTCTCGTCGCAAATCTCATGCAGCAGGTAAAACGCCACTGCCTTTGTGCTGGCGGCGCGATCAGCAAAGACAAGTGTGTTGTACAGCCAATACGCACCCAACTTCTCAAGGGTCGAGGTGTCGCTTGTAAGCTCCGTGAGAATTTGGCCCGCAACGTGGGAAAACCGCAAAAACCCGCGCGGGCAGCTACTTTTCGATGCTGTCGCCGCGAGCGCGCCGTGCCAGACCATCAGCGCGGTACAAACAACAGCTGGCAAGTCACTTTCACTGCCCTGCGTGTTGGCAACGGCAAGCATGGAGTGCGCCAGCGCAGGGCCGTCCACCGCCTCCCGCTCGTTCGGCAACGACGCCAGCCGCCTGAAGGGCTCGGGGCAGAGCTCGAACGCCGTCGTGATGAGTGGCAGCGCCAACTCCCCCCGCCCCGCTTGCAGCGTGCAGCGAGCGGCGGAGGCCAACAGGCGCACCGTGCGCCACGCATCACCCGCGAGAGTCACCGTCGTCGCCGCCGTCGCCTTGGCGGCTGCCACGACGGCCCGCAGCTCCGACTCATCCACCAGCGGGCTCTTTGCCTTCTGAAGCAGAATCTCCCCGACGGCCGCGGGGCGCATCGTGCAAGGCCCACACAATCCGCCTCAGACAAGGAAGGAGGGTGTGCGTGCGCGCAGTGAACCACACACACACACACACAAATTATACAAAAAGAAAGAAAGTGAGAGAGAGAGAGAGAGAGAGAGCGTGGGTCACAATGAAGAAAGCATACCTGCAGCGCTGAGCCGTCGCCTTGACCGTCACTGGCGGTGCCTGGGAGAACACACACACACACACACGCACAGGCACACGCAACCATGCGAGAACTACGAGGGAAGCAGGCAGCGGGGAAAAGTATGGAACACCGAGATGGGGAAAACAGCAACAACACAGAGAGAGAGAGAAGGGGGCAAGACAAAAAAAAAGAACTGTTGTATACGCAGGCCTCAGACCTCACCGAATACTCTCCATATTCTTCTTGATCGCAAGCAAAACGTGGGTCTTCCACTCATCCAACATGCGGAGCTCGTCAAGGAGGGAGACAGCCGTTTCAAACTTCTCCATGTCAGCCCCTTCCACCGCCTCGGCGCACATCTGAAGGAACTCCGCCTCACGAGTGTTCTTCAAGTACTTGTCGCGCACCATGTAGGTGTCAAGCGCCTCCGACGCCTCAGCACTTTTTTCAAGGCGGTTATCATCTGTGACGGCGGCAAAGCGGCAAAGCATGGCCCGCATAAAAAACTCCTTCGCCTCGTGGCGCAGCGGACCGTCCACACTTATGTTACCGAGCCGCTCATAAAGCGACAGGGCCTTATCAAACATGTCGCTTTCACCATATATTTTTGCCATGGCAACAGTGCAGGCCTTGACTTGACTATTCATGTCCTCCGCGCCGAAGTATTGTATGGCCTTCTCGTAATGGGGGATTGCCTCCATCGTCTGACCAGCTTCGCAAAGCGCCTCTGCAAATTCCTTTTCCAACCTCGCGGCACCGCTCAACGTATTGTTGTCAATTTGCAGGGTGATGGCGACATCCAGCATTTGGACTGCCAGTTTCAGGTCCGTTTTCTTGTACGCACTGACGGCGTTCGCGTAGGACCGAGCGGCAGAGAGCTTGTCTTTGCACTTCACTGCGCAGTCACCGGCCCGCATGTATGCCTCCCCGGCACGGTTGTAATCCTTCTCCGTCTTGAACCGCGCGGCGGCCGCCTCAAACAGCTCCATCGCCCTTTCAGGGTCCTTGAAGAAAAACCTGTTGATCTTGCCCTCGGCCTCGCGGTAGAGGCTCTCTGCGGACATTGTCTGCTGTGTCTCTCCCACAACCCGGGTCCAAACTACAGGGCTCAGCTTCGTGGATACACCTGACGCCCCTTTCTCCTCTCTCCCCCTCCTCTTTCTGTTTTTTCTTTCTCTTCGCTCTTTACGTGTTGAACTACAAAGTGCGTTTGGGCAGCAGAGGCGAAGAAGCGGGCATGCAACAGCAGAAGCCACAAAGTAGGCAGATGAAGGTGGACTTCAGCTTTTTTTCCCCCCCCCTCTCGCTTTCTTTTTTACTTTCCGCGTTTCCCTCCTCCTCATCAGGGACCTCAGGCAGCGAGCCTTGATTTGTTGTTAATGGTTACACAACGTGAGTCCATAGTGGCTCCTTAAGAGAGAAGGATGACGCGGCTGGGGCAGCATATCCCCGATTCACTAATAGCCCTACGTCATTGTCAATGAAGTTATCAAAGAAGGGGGGAGTGTGGGTGAACACGCGCACGCACATAGACAAAAGAAAAATAGTCACCTACTTGCACGCACCGTTGGCAACCTCCTTATATCATATATATATATATATTCTAAAATTTTTTATTCATTCATTAGTTACAAACACGCGTGTCCTTCTTGTCTTTACGATTCGATGAGATATATATATATATATATATCAGAAGGTCGCGTAAGTCAGCCAGATGACGCGTTCAGTCCTCCGCATACGCTCCAGTTAACAATATTTAGGAGCCTAGTGTTGATGCGGTGGTGTGTACGGGCCCATAGGGTTCTGCGGCGGTGGGTAGTATGCGTGTCTAGCCTGAAGCGAGAAACCACCATATTCATTAATCCCACCGTAAATACCCATGCCCATATTCATGCCTGGATACCCGTTGTACATGCGTGGGCGGTACGGCATGGCGTTCGGGCTCATCTGATACGGTACTGAGCTGTATGCACTGTGGTATGATTGTCCTGGCATACCTTGCTGCATGTAGCGCTGCTGTGGCTGATACTGATACTGATGCTGCTGGTGCTGATGCTGGTAAAGTTGTTGACGGTGGTGGTGAGGGTGGTGCACTGGGTAGAGGTGGCTTGTGTCAGTCGTCTGTGGGGTCTCGTCGCATTCGGGCTGTGCGGCGAAGGCGGTGGGCCGGGGCGCCGTCTCCGGGCCTTTGGGGGACGGTGGTTGCCTACTCTCCTCCGACGCCGCCGGCGGCGCCTGCACAACGCCGACGAAGTCACAATCCGCCGACACCAGCTTCGCTACGTCAGCGGGGAGCGCGATGGGGCCCAGGTGGACGAGTGCCGCCGGCTCCTGCTGCTGCGGCTTGTCACTAGCGGGGGAAGCTACCGGCTTTTCTTTCACGGCGGGCGGGGGGGAGAACGGCGCGGGGGGCGGCGCTTCAGCGCTCTTCGCCTTGCCGCCGCTGCCGCCGCCCGCTGCGGTCGAACTCGTGGGGGCGGCAGGCGGTGCGACAGGCCCGGTGCCGTTCGCGGCCGCCAGCTTCTGCCGCTTCAGCTTCTCCGCGAGACTTCCCGAGGCCCACGCGGACATCAACTTCTCCACCGCAACCGACGAGAGACGTCAAACAAACACCCCAACCGAAAACCAGCACACTGCGAGGCAAAGGAAGAGAAGGATAACACGCGACAGTGCGATGCCACACACCCACAGAAGGCGGATCGCAGCGTGCGGCGGCAACGCCTCCCCGCTGCAACGGCGGCGACGGCAACAACACGGGGAGGGGAAGGACGTCATTCACGGGTAACTTAAAGGTAAACAACAGAGGGCAAAGGAGGGGGGGGGGGGAGAGGGTAAAGGGGACGCCTCACCCAGCAGTGCCCGCCTCCGCTTCAAGACGAGCCAACACCGCCACCATCTCGACATGCGGTGTGTGGGGGAAGAGGTCTACCGCGAACCCCGCCACCACGCCAAAGGGCAAGCCGCGGTACGCCTTCGTGGTGGGCTTCGTCAAAGGGGGACAGTCCCGCTCCAGCGCTTTCTGCTCACACGAGATGTACACCACACGCCGGATATTTGGGGTGCCACGAATCCACTTCAGCACCGTGGGTGTCACGCCAGCCCGGGGAGGATCCAAAATTGCCACAATGTCGGTTCTATCTTCCACCGGCAGAGCATTGATGATATTCGGCAGGAGGTGCTCCACACGGCCGCTGTGAAATGTGGCGTTGGTTATGTTGTTCCTTTCCGCATTCCGTCTCGCGTCACGCACCGCGGACTCGACAAGCTCGATGCCAATGACCTGCTTCACGTACTTGGCAAGCGTGAGGCCTATTGTGCCTGTGCCGCAACAGAGGTCCAAGAGCGTCGTCGTTGGATTCAGCGCCGCAACCTTCGCCGCCTCGCGCAGCAGCAATTCCATTCCCGGGGTGTTCACCTGAAAGAAGGAGGTGGGGCTTAGCTCAAACTGAAGCCCAGCGAGGCTCTCCGTGAGTGTGGGGGTGCCAAAGAGAACATGACGCGGCACGTCAGCTGGAGGAGAGCTGATCCCAGTGCCGTGGTGATACTGGGCACTCACCACGGCCGCGGTGTCCTTCCCGAAGGCAATGCTTAGTTTCCGCCTCAATGCCTCGCTCGAGAGCGTGTCGGTCAGTTGCGCCTTCACCTCATCCACCACTGCCGCTTCGGCACTGTCGATGTCCAGCTCAACATCCACCATAACCTCGCCACGTACGTTGTGGCGCACCTGCAGCTTTCGCCAGAACCCGTGTTGCTTTACCTTGTCGAACCCCAGCAGCCCCCCTTTCTCGGGCGACGAGAAGGCGTGATAAACGGACATGACCGCCTGAGCCACCGTCTTCGCCACCGGATTCATTGTCACAATGTCTTTTTCAAGGGCTGAGTCAATGGCGCAGGTGCCTTCAAGCATCGCACCCTTCAGAAACCCAATCGATGGCTCCCCGCCTTCCGTGTAGCCAAATGAAAGCTGGACGTGGTTGCGATAGCCAGTCAGCTCGGGGCTGGCGTGGATACCAGTGAATAGCGCCTCGTGCTTTTCCCCTCGTGGCGCTATTGCCTTCATCACCTGCAGACAGTGCAGCCGCTTGCGCGAGAGCTGCTCCTCCATGGCACAGCCCTCCCACTGAGAAACTTTGCTTTGCCCCACGCTCTCCCCATCACGTGGCCGCTTTCGGCTATTCCCCTTGTGCGTCAGGTGCAGGTCTCGCTGCGTCACGGGTACCTCCTGCCATTGTTTTTTCCCACGAAACTGCATCCCCCGCAGAAGCGCAGCGGCTGCGACACGGTCCTCAGGTGTCTGGAACGCCATGAAGAGGAGCGGCGTATTCGGGTTTTTGCCCATGCGCAACAAGCCGTTGAAGAGCGGTTGAGGCGGTGCATTCGTCTTGGGCGGCGGCAGGCTCTTCGAGATCATTTTCTTTATCACTGACGTCGTTGAGTACTTGTCGTGCGTGTCGAACTTCAACAGATTCTCGTTGCTGTGCTCGCGAAGAACGACATCGTCCCCGGGCCCCCCTGCCGCCTCCTCCCCGCCCCCATGGCTCTTCGTCGCCATCCTTCACTGCTGCTGCTGCCGCTGCGAGGAAGACACAGAGGGCGGTAGCAACCATTTGACGTGCACAAAGCAAGAAGGGGGAGGAGAGAGAGAAGGAAAGAAGTTCATGTGTGTGTGGTGGGTGGGTGGGTGGGTAGTAACCGCGCAGAGAGAGAGAAATAGAGAGGTAGGGAAAAGGAAAAAAAAAGGGGAGGGGGGAAAGACAAACAGCGGGGAAG